GCGCGTGCGGCCGGCCGGGCGGCGGCGTGAGTCACGGCGGGGCTCGCCTTTATAACCGCCGGCAGGCTCGCGCCAGCCGCCCGCCCGCCGCTCGGCGCTCCGCGCTCCAGCCCGCGCGCCCCTAACGGCCCCCCAACCGCCACCCAGGCCCGAGGGCACCATGAGGAGCCCGCGCTGCGCCCGGTTGCTGCTCCTGCTTCTGCTGCCGCCGCTGCTACTCACGCCCCCCGCCGGGGACGCCGCCGTCATCACGGGGGTAAGCGGCACCGGGCGCACCTGTACGCCGGGGATGCGCGCCTGCCACGCGCCGTGGGCGCTCTGGAGGGGGACCGCGACGGGGAGGCGGGGGACACCGGGAGGGTCGTCCTGGGCGGAACGCCTGCCCCGGTCGCCCCCTGGCGCACTTGGAGAATGCCCTGCTCGCAAAGCAGCGGGCGGCGGGGACTTCGGGCGCGCCCAGGAGGAGAAGTGACCGCTGTCTCACCCCACCACCTTCATCACCACCTTCTCCCGCTCGCTTTCCTCTCTCTCCCTGTTTGGTCTGTTTTTCTCTTAAGCTGAAAGAAGTTTCCTTTCGGGATCTTCTCAAGCACTTTTCTCAGACCTTCAAGTCTCCTTAAAATTTGAGGGTCTCTTCCTGAAATGTAAAGGGGCAAGACGAATACCCCCAAATGCAGCGGGTCTTAATTCTGTAATCAAGGAGTTTGCTCCCCGATGCAGCCTCCGCAGAAACCCTTGCGAATAACTTGATCTGAGGCCAAGTTATGTGCACTCTGAAAAGCAATATGAACGTTCCTTCTGGGGTCCAGGTTGTTTGTTTTCAAGCGTCCTGAGGTTCTCCCTGTAAAAGTTTTCCACTTCGGCATAATAACGGAGTAGGTTGCGATGTAGATGTTTCAGTTTAGAGAGATGTCGTCCTAATTTTTGGAAGTAGGAACTCGTTCAGTTCTCTCCTGCTTCCACCAGCAATTTTCTTTGTGTGGATCTGAAGGATGAGTTTACAGCACAGAATAAAAAAAAAGTCTTGTCTACTCTACACCAACAATGCAAAACCGCTACTATTTCCTGGTTGTTCAAGTGCTTTACTCTTTTAGGTCTGAAATTATTTTACACTGCCATTAAACTATTTCAAATATCTCAGTGCACAGAAGATGGCGGAAATAAAATTTCTGTGTTTGAAATGATGATACATAGCATAATGAAATAAAATTTAAATTTAAGGGAAATGGCACTGTCTTGAGAAAATTAAGCTCCATTGTCTCTATGTTAATAGGCTTACAGCTTTTTAAAAGTCCTTGTACTGTAACAGTCTTTGGTGACAGCCAATAAACATTTGGGTTACAGCCAATAGATATTTAATTATAAGCATTGAGATATTTACTAGAATAGATTTTTTAAAATGTATTTGAATATCTTTGCCAGTCTGTGTGGTTGAAAAAGTTTTTACAGGTCTTTCTAATACATGAGAATTGAAACATGATTAGTTAGGTTTTTTGCCCTCCTTCTTCCCCTGCTGGCTCATTTTAAATTTCTCCTAATCCTCTGAGCCCAAAATTCCTTTGTGATAGAAGTATCTTTTTGTTCCATTCACAAGACAACACTATCTGAATAGATCTGCAGTGGGTTCAAGATGAAGGGCATTAGGAAACAGCTGTCTAATTAAAAATATATAAACCTATGCAATTCTTTGTAAATATTTTCAAGAACCAAAGTGTTTTTGTTACAAAATGAAATTTTATCACACTGTTTTTCTGTTAAAGTTTAGACTGGGCTTGCTATATAATTCTCTGTGTTGTTTTTGTTGTTGTTTTAAATCAGTGTTACAACAACAACAAAAAAAGAATGAAAAAAAATTTCTCTAAAAGAACATGGCAATAAAGAAATGTAGTAATGTTTCCATGACAGGAACCATCTGGAGTCAAATGAAAAACTCAGTAACTTATCTAAATTTATCATCTCTGGGATGTTAAACATCCAAGTGATTGATTGAGTTTTAAGAGATATTGGCTGGATTTTGATTGTCTTATTAAAAGAGCTAGTGGGACTTTGAAATTCCTGGTCTTGAGCATCTGTTGAAATAAAATATTGCCCGAAACCTTCACCTTAAATATTTACTTTTTTTGGTAATATATGTAGTTATTTAAAAGTTGATTTATATGTCCACATAGATTTGTTAAAACCATATTGGAAAAGATTGTATACTGAACAACTCACTTATGGAATGTAATGGCTACATACACGTGATTTCTGGCATACAGATAAAAATTGGAAAGTGGAAATGTTTAGGTATTTTCTTATAAATGTCCATACACCTCAAGATGAAAATTGTAGTTTTCATCCAGATACTGTTTTAAATAGCCTGAGGAAAAAATTCTAATGGAGGGGAAAAAAAAAACTCTAAAGCAAGAAAGATTATTGATCACATTTAATGAAAAATAATAAACGAAGGTGTGCCCACATATTTATGTTTCAAGAAGTTATAGCTGTCCCCAAAACTAAGAACTTTGAAGGCGTGTTTTAGTTGTTTCCATTAAATCTACATTTAAATTTGTGTCTAAATTAAAGACTTTTTAGTTTCTTTCATACGTAACACAGGATGTCTTTACCTTATTGCTAGCAAAACAGATTACTGCACAGTACTCAAACAAAGCATCCTATTTATGGTTGGTTCTAGGAGAGAACAATAGTTCTTCAGATGTATTTTCATGTAAATAAGTTTAGACTTCATTATTTACTTAGTCAAGTATGGAAATCACTCTGAAGATGATTCTTTGATTATATATATTTACAATTTTTATATTAGGAACAAATGCCTTGAGTAATCATTGTTGATAATTGCATCTGTCATGTGTATTTCTAAATCTGATGAATCTTATAGAATAATTCAGCTAATTTTGTAATGTACACATATGTACAGTAATTTCCTTTTTGCAAGTTACTCATCAAAAAAAAAATAATATAAGGTGAAAGTCTTGGACTGTCCATTCTAACCTAGGAAATTTCTTTCTTTCAGAAGGAAATGGTGAAAATCAAGTCAGTGGTGTGAGAAACATTGAGTCTTGTGACCAAAATGCAAATATTTAAAGGGAAAATGAATTGTACTTTTAAAATTTACATCAGTGCCTTTATGGGTCTGGAGTATTTCATGCCAGATTTAGAGACCATTTAAATCCCTTCTTAAAATTGGGCCCAATATATTCTGCAGTTAATAGACATAAAATCTTGTGATTTGATTTATGTAGTTCCTAACAGCTATTTATGGTAAAAGACTAATAGAGACTCATTCTTCAAGTTCAAAGCCAATTCAGCCATAAAACACTAGAAAAAGAGCTGCTTTTGTTTTTTCTTTAAGTCTTCTTGTATTTAGAATTTTCACAATGTGTGGACTATTTTTAGGCTATTTTTCAACAAGTAGGAAAATCTCTTCCGATCAGGTTTTATTGTAAATATGTTCAAGTGAATGAAGATTACAGTTCTTTTTTATACGTGTGATTATTAACATCATAGTGGTTGGATATTAAGAGAACATTTTCTTTTACTGCTAATTTTAGATCCCTGTAGCCTGAGTCTTCCCCATTATCTGTATTTATCTGTCTGTCTGTTGCATTTCAGGCCTGCGACAAGGACCCCCAGTGTGGTGGAGGCATGTGCTGTGCTGTTAGTATCTGGGTTAAGAGCATACGGATTTGCACACCAATGGGCAAAGTGGGAGACACCTGCCATCCGCTGACTCGTAAAGTTAGTGTATATATTTGTATTCATGGTAGTTCTCTTATATTGCAATGTCTGTCACCTCTGAGCAAGGCCTATATGACATGAAACGCAAGGTAACATGCTTGAAATTGGAAGTCAGAGAAGATGACGGTGGAAAGCCGCCTCCTCTCTCCTCTCCCTTTTCATTGTAAAGAATTGTATCCTTTACCATCCTTCTTCTACCGAACATTTGCATATCATGGCTCTCGTAATGTTAGACACATTTCATAAAAATAATTTGAAACATGCATATTTGCTTAAGATTTTTTAGGATATACAGATATCCTAAAATTTTTTATACATAAAAATAAAATTTAATTTGTATGTATTATATAAATAAAATACCATGTATGTGTCTTTGCAGAAATCAGAGTATAAAAGTTCATGAAAAGAGGGTTAATGTCAGACCCACTGAAAAGGCAGAAATCAAGAAGTTTGTGTTTTGGTTTTTTTGCAGAAAATCATTCATGATACATTTACTGTTGTATCTTAATTTTAAAGTCCTATGTTTTGGTTCTGTCTACAGGACACATTTTCACAGTCCTAGAGGTTGATGATGTTTCGCTTTCCAATTTATTTTATTATGTAACAGCTCAGTGTCACAGTGACCTAAAACAGCACTTTTGAAAAGGCATGGACAGGAAGCGGCAGGACCGCCGGTTCGATGGCAGGACTGAGAGGGGCTTTAGAGGTTGTGTCCCCCGGGGGGTTGCACGCGCCCCTGTGTGCAGGGCCAGGCAGGTCTGTGTTACTTCTGGAATGGGTGGGTGGCAGACAGGAGGGAGCAGAGAAGCGTGTGGAGCCTGGAGAGCCCTTGCCCTTCGGGTTGAAAACGTTTGAAGCGCAGTGTGGTCCCAGCCACATCCCCCAGGGATGCCAGGTCAAGGGTGCCTCGGTCTCTTCGCCCCACATCATTGTTTACCCAGTGGTTACGGGAGGTCCACGGCTGCTGAGGGCTACATCCCAGGCCTGGTGGCTTGTTGGAGGCAAGTTCAGTTCTCCGCAGTGTTCTCTCGTCACATCGTCTACTCTCATCCCCAGAATAGGTTGAATGTTTTCAAAGCAAACTCAGTTCCGTCTTCTACCTTTTTTTTCCCTCCGCACATGTGGCTTAGGGTTCAAAACTGTAGTAGAGCCAAACATCTTTCCTGCACTCCAGTCACAGATGACAGTTCATATTTTGACTCTCTCAAAAGGACAAAAAGAAATAAATTGGCTTGGGTTTTACCCTGTGCACTGTAATGGGGACACTGGTGGTTGGGACCCATGTGAAGACGGAATTTGGCTGTCCTGTGGTTTCCTTGAGAAATGCTTCCTGTTACATTTAGACCACTGCCCCTCCCCCAGGGTTTTACTGTTGGAGACGGTGGTGTCTTTCAGCATGATATGCACCTTTTATTCCTGACCATTTTGAGACAGGAAAGGGTTTTAAATCGTTGGTTGTCTGTCTCAGTGCCTAACTGCTGCCCAGGGGAGGTGAGGCTGGCCCTTTGGCATTGATCTCAGTTTTTTTCATCAACCTGATCAAGCATGAGTCATCTTTTGTGATTTGAGTGGCTGTCGCTGAGAAGTTTACTGTTAACTCAGCCTTCTCCTTTAAGAATCACGTCTTCGTCCAGCTTTAGTATAACCTTACATGCTTTAGTTCCCAGGATCACGAAGCCACTTTGCTTAAAATGCATGAAGGGTGACAGCGTCTGGGGAGCTATTTTTGTGTAAATAGCAATAACGGTTGCCACTTGTTGAATGCCGTGATGTAGCAGACACTTGAAACCGAATGTTGTGTATGTGGTTGTCATTTAATACAACAAGCCTGCGAAGTGCGTTTGTTTTGGTCACATTCTACTTATGACAGCATTATGAGCTCCATAACTGGCTGAGGTCATGGGTCGTAGGTCAGAGGGCAGGCTCTGGCTTTCACTTCTTTCTGACTCTGTCGTCTGTGTGGTCCTAACCACACATGCATTCTCTCCTCCTTCCGTGAAAGCTGTCTTTGTGCTTAATTTGAATATTTTTTAGTGCAATTAACCAAAGCTGGTTTGTGTGGGGAAGGCATTCACTGAGATGAGGGATAACAGTTCAGAGCTGGAATTTGTCTCATCCTGCAGTTCCGATGAGTTTTCCAAATCTGAGATGTTTTGGAAAGAGAACCAGATTCTGTTTCCCCAGGTCCTATAGTTTTTCTCATTCAGGTTTAGTGCCAGGTCAGTTCTGAAAGTAAAGTCATTCTCCCAGAAACCCAGGTACATCTCTGTGCTGGGTTTCTTTGTTTTTTTGTTTTTAATCATAGTTTTAATAACGAAGTCTGTAATAACAGATTATGGCTTTCATAGGAGAAATAAGTGATCAAAAAACTGGAGTACTAAAAAGTAGTAAGATTTTAATCTCAGATCTGAACTTACCCCCTGTTTCGATGCCCATTTGAAATATGTTTTTAGAATGCAGTGTTACCGCTTTTCACATTGATTATTTTTCTGTCTTGAAAACATTTTCAAAGGTCATTTCAAAGACCTGTTTTTAGTCCCAGAGTTGTCACTTGTTTCTGGATGAACTTAACCTGTCCTGGTGAAAACCTGGTTCTTCCAGAGTCTCTTTCAACTATATTCTGTTCAAAACAACTCAAGTAAATAATTTGTTATAAATATATCCTGGTGAAACTCCACTTTAAACTTTCTGGCTCATTAGTAGATGATAAAAATGTAGATAGACACTGTATGGATACGTTCATTACTTTTTTCCTCCCAGTTTTCTCTTTGTTTTGTTTTGTTTGAAAAAAAAAGTGGATTAATTTCAATTGTGGTCTCAAGGATTAGTGTTTGTAAACACAAGGCTTTGAATAGGTGAGGACTATACCTGTTTAAGATTTGAACTTTCTGTTCTAGTTTGGCTTAGACATGAATCACAGTTGTTTATTTTGAAAAAGTGAGCAGTATTTGATGAGTGAAATCGAGACCTGTAGATGGGAATTGGTGGCCACTGTTTTATTTCGGATGGGTCAGTTAACTTACCGAGTTTACAGTCACTGCTAGGCTATGATTTTGTAATTTTAAAGCGTGAAACTTCACATTTGATAATTCAAAATAGAATGAAATATGAGTGTACCTAAGAAGAATAGGTGCATGTTTTCTAAACACATTTTTACGCAAATAATAGTTTTAACATGTATTAATTTTCAATGGTAGATTTTTTTTTAACAATTGAGAATGTATTACTAAATCATATGTCTTCTTGGAATACCGTGCTGTACAGCAAAGAAACACTAATTTCTATTAATAGCCACACTTCCGGAGTTTACAAAGATTAACTTTTCCTATCCTCTTCTGATTACTCATTGCCTTTGCAATTTGTAATTACGTGACTAATACTTTTACTGCTTATATTCTATAAAAATTTTTAGATTTAAACAACTATGTTTCCTTCAAAAATTAATCTTGTTTTAAACTTTTGTCCCATTTTTATGTTAACATTTTTAGCATTAGTTATTTTTATTTTTATTTTTATTTTTTAGCTATACCTTAAAACTTGACTAATACATTTTCCTTTTCTGAAGAAAAAATTTTCAAATTAAAACCTGGGTCTTGTTTGTGTGAAAAAAAAATAAAAGGAAGATTTTTAAAAATTATTGGCTGTTCCTGTTTTAGAACCAGCCTGTGAGGAAACATTATAAACATAATTTCAGAATAGATTATCACATTTAAAAAATACTAACTAAACTATAACTAACATAACTTCAATATTTAGCAAAAGATGAACAGAAGAAAGCAAAATATGCTAATTTTGTCATCTTTCCTATCACGGATGTCAAGAGCCACTTTCGGTTTGATCTCCCAGGGCAGCTTCATGGCTATGATTACAGGTTCAGATTGGCAGAGAGACTCCTAAAACATAAATGTGCTTTAGTCCAGTGCAGAGTCTGTCAACCTGGGCTCTTCTGACATCTTAGGCTGGGGAACTCTGTTGTGGGGCTGCCCTGAGCACTGTGGGATGTTTAGCAGCATCCCTGGCCTCTGCCCAACTAGATGCCAGTAGCACCTCTGTCCCAGCTGTGACAACCGAAAACGTCTCCAGACATTGCCCCGTGTCACCTGGGGGGGGGGGGTAGGTGAGTGTTGGAGGGGGCTGGGGTCACCCCGGTTGAGCACCCCCATCTAATGCTTCACTTAGCCTCACGGGACGCAGTGTCCTCGGGTTCCCACCGGCTACCCGAGCACACAGCTGCTTTTGCCCTCTCATCCGCCCAGGGTGCTTGTGGCTGCCACACATGATTGCTGGGGTGTGCATGGGGTCCCCTCGACCCACAGAAATTACCACTGTCATTTCTTGCAAATCTTTTGCGCCCTCCTAATCCCAGGAGTTCAAGGCCTGCATGCCAACAGCTCCCCCACCCCAAGTGCAGCTCACACAACCAATGAGACTGAGCCACTGCTCCCTGTTTTTCTTTACTTTTTCTGGGGACACAGTTCAGTGGGAGGCCCAGGTACCCATCAGGTCCGCCTCCATCAGCCCAAGCCCCAGGTTAACCCTAGACTCACAGGAGGGGAGCAGATAAATAATTGTGTTATTTAGCGTTGTGTGAATATATACCTAGCCCCCCAAAACTTAGAAGGATCAGCTTAAAACTTTACCAGGTTAAGATACACTGGCCCTCTTCTTAGTTATTAAAACCAGAAACTGTGGGACTGTGGGACTTGTCATTTTTATTGTATCCATTATTACACCATTTGAATTTTTTTGAACTGTGTACTTCTGTTGAAAAAGTTGTAACAAAACTGGCTCTCTTTGTAAATCTGAAGATGCGTTTTCTGGGAACACTTCTCCTGCACTTGTGACTGTCAGGCACCTTCTAGCTTTGTTATACCGTGGACGTAGAGCTGGAAGCGAGTGGGCCAGTTACGACCCTGACAGGTGTCTGCAGAGTGTATCATGTCTGTGTGGTTAAGAGCTCAGAGGCAAAAAGGAAGGCGAAAACAGCTACAGGCTGGCCCAGTGAAGAGAGGCTCCAGGGAGGGAGGGAGAAACACAGGCTGGATCTTGAAAAAGGATAAGAATAAGAAAAGTACATCCAAGTATAGGGGGCCTGCAGGTCAATCTAATCACTCCATTAAATTCAATGTGGACACATCTAGGTTGACTCTTACAGTATCTTGGTGCCCTGCGTAAGAAAAAGAGTAATAAAAAGATGTTTTGAAGGTTTCACAAAAACATAGACTTGTGAACTCATTGCCAGGGCCCCTTCTAGACCCCAGGGGGACCCTACGTAAGTGAGAACTTTGGCTTTCAGATTTGGTGGCATTGATCGGAGGTAGCTGGGGGGCTCAGGCTGAGGGAGGCTGAGGGGGAGCCCCAGGACCTGAGAAGATCACCCTTTTGCCTTCTGGGGAGTTCACAGCCGATGGTGGGGGTGGGAGTGGGAGACAGGCATTTAACAAACATTTCTTTGAGTGCGTCCTGCGTACCAGGCTGAGTGCTATGCTCTCATAAGTAACAGTCCTGTTCTTCCAAGAGCCTGGAGTCTGGGCCTTGGTGATATTTGGAAGAAGCTGGAGCTGAGGCTGACTGTGACATGTTCCTTTTCTAGCTGGGCGACCTCAGTCAGTCACGTTCCTCCACTTTTCAAGAGGCAGCCACTTAGCTTGTGTCAAAACGAGGCATAAACCCGGCCCCCGGCTTTGGTGTGACATTCACGCATGACGCCTTTATGAAGCCTGGCCCGTGGCGGGCCGCCAGCCTGATTTTTCTTGTCTGCTGCTTTTGCTGACAACCCACGTGCCAGGCCAAAGAGTGACCGTTGTGTCGAGATGTACAAAGCATGGGAGTGAAACCACAAGGGCGCTGCTTCATAGCTGAAACTACCTTACTGGGCACGTGTCATTAGAATTTAAGTTCGTGACGAGCAGAGGCCTTTCCTGTTTTGTTCATCGCTGTATCCGCAGCACCTGAAATAGGGCCTGATGTGTTGGCGACACTCGATAAATGTCTGTGGAATGAATGGATGAGAGAAAGATGCTCGGTGTTCTCTGTGTATATGCTTATCATTGTTGGAGTTCACTTATTCCAGACTCCTTTTCCCTGGATGTTGCTGCCTGTGTTCGTTTTCCTCAACTTTGGCACCGTTGTTTTAGAGCAGATAGTTCTTTGCTGTGGAGGCAGTCCTGTGAGTTGTAAGATGTTTAGCAAAATCCTTGGCCTCTACCCATTAGATGCCGGTAGTACTGCCTCCTTCGCCGACTTGAGACACACAGAAGTGTCTCTGGACATTGCCAGATGTCCCCTGGGGGTGTTGGGGCAGAATCAGCCCAAATTGAGAACCGCTGGTTCGGGCAGTAGTTTGGGGCTTGGTGAAACGAGGCGCGCAGAGTCTCGAGGTCAGAAATGCTCGTAAAGGTTGGGGGTTATCACATCTCATACGATCCCTGTGTAATTGTCCGAGCCGTCCCTGCTACGCCCACCTCCTCTGATGTAGTCTCGTTGGCAACAAACGAGCCGGCCACCTGTGGGCCCTTTGACACACACAGTGACAGAACCATTCTAGCACAAGTCTTGCACGGAACCAGCGGCCACGGTGCCCATGTGTAGACACATCGTTAGAGCCTTGACAGCCGGGCTCTTAGGAAAAGACAAAGGATCTGGGATGGCTCTGACTGTTCCCCATGTCCCCCCACCGCCTTCCTGCCATTTCTCTTTCATCCCTTAGTGTTTATTGATTTCAACCGTCTCCCTGGCCCTTCCAGAACCATTTTGGAAATGGGAGGCAGGAAAGAAGAAAGAGGAAGAGAAGAAAAAGGAAAAAGGAGGTAAGAAGAACTCGAACATGGTAGCATCCAAAGATAAGGCCCAGAATAATTAGCCTTGACCGTTATTGCTACATAGCCTTGGATTCATTTTATCAGTTCAACCTGCAAATAAGGTTAGAATGGTTCTGCCACTGTCTGCAGACAGCCTTTGGTTTGATGTATAAAGAAATTATTTCGAAGGCATTTGGGAGGTGCAGCTCAGATTTTCTCCTAAAGTCAGATAAGGTGGTTTGGGGAGGCCTGTTTTGGTGGACTAGGTAGAGCAGGAGATCCAACACTGGAATGGTACTGAGTGAAGCGTTTGAGCTGGGAAGCAGGAAGGGTGCATCTCCCTGTGGTGTGTAAACTGGAGAGGGATCCCTGAGGCGTGAATCTGTAATGGCTGGCCTCCCTCACATAACCCTGCATCGGGTAGCTTGCCATCCCATTTTGTTGAATATCGACCAACCGCCTCCAGGCCTGGGGTTAAACTTTCTCCCTATAACTTGCCAAGCAGGCAGATTGTCGAGGGGGCACCATTCGTGGGGGAGGGAGAATGGTTTTTGCTCTGTGCCTCCAGAAAACATGCATGTTGGAGGGTGCTCCTGTTGTCCCCGGCAAAGAGAACCATCGCACCAGCTGCTAGGTGACCCTCCTCCACCCAGCTTCACCCAGGCGTGAGCAGGGCCCTCCGAAACATCAGCTGAAGGGCTCTTGGAATGAAGCTGACCTTTCACTGCCGGCTCTGCCTAGGCCGGGTTTCCTCTGTCCCATCTCTGCCAGTCGAGCTGGCCTCCTCCCCTGATTTTCCTCTTGTTACTTCCTCCCCCTGCCCCAACCAGAATTTCGACTTCTCACATCTTTGCACAGATGTGTGAATTTATCGAGTCCTCATTGGCGGTGAGCTTTTATCTGCTGATTGTATTGGTGGGGACCTGCCTCTCACGTTATGCTCTCCTCAAGGAGCTTCAGCGGTGGGATGCGCTGAAAATAATTAAAATAAGAAAAAGTAAAAGGCGGTGTAGATGGCTGGTTGAGAGCGTGGTCTCTCAGGTCCGGCTGCCAGCCAAGCTTCAAGTTCTGGGTATGTGACCTTGGGCAGGTGACTCATCTCTCTGTGCCTCAGTCTCTCATCTGTAAAATGGGTATAATTTGCGTATTTGCCATCTTCACAGAGAGGTTGTAAGGCTGGGAAAGGATAACAAAAAAATGCTGAGTCTGTTGCTTGATGAATACTTAGCACTCAGTAAACACTACCTATCGTTATTCAAAGAGATTGCTCAAAAATTGTTTTTTAAAAGAAAAATTTCCTGCTCTGACACAGTTTTCTTTTTGGTTTTAGGTTCCATTTTTGGGGCGGAGAATGCACCACACGTGTCCCTGTATGCCTGGCTTAGCCTGTTTACGGACTTCCTTTAACCGATTTATCTGTCTAGCCCGGAAGTAATCACTTGGGGGCAGAAACTTGAAATATGAACAGCCACGTGATGTACATCAAGTCTCTTGTGATTGTGCCAAACATTTGTTTAAATGCCAGAAAGAGATGCAGTTGCTTCCTCAACTTTCCAAGTAACATATCTCTCTTTGATTTCTAAATGATTTTTTGAACTGAAAGAAGACTTATGATTTGGATAGAAATGTAAAATGCAGGGCATTATGGAAGCAGTTCTCATTCCCCTGTTGGTGTTTTGGTTTGGTTTGGCTTTTTCTAACCCCAGTAACTCACCCATCTTCACAAAAGTGAGGAGAATGGGAATTTGATGTTTTGTCTTAGAAACTTTTTTTTTCCTTCAGCACTCTCTGCCCCCGCCCTGCCTCACCGCATGCACACGTGCCCACGTGCCCCTTGGTCTCTTCTACTCACTCCTCACTCCTCAAAGAATTTTAAGACCTTCATTTTATCTTTCACCATTTCCCTCCCTGACCTTCCAGCATTTTAAAATGGGGTGGTCCGTATTCTTTACTTTGTTGGCAGAATCACTGATGAGAATCAAGCTTTTTTGCCTGATACTTAAACAGTGAAAAGAATGTGTCACTGGACCAGACACCCCAGACCTGTCTTATGTGGCGTTGAGGTTGGGGTGCTTCTGAGCCTTCGGGATTTTTTTTTTTTGAGACTGCCAATACAATATTGCATTTGTTTCTTTCTCTTTTTATAAAGGTTTTTTTTTTTTTTACAAAAGTCTCATAGTTAGAGGCGTTCCAGAAAATGTTACTTGAAGAGGAAGTATTGATTTTAATCTGGCATAACACTAGTTGCCATTTTTAAATCAGTATTAAGTTGTTATTTAAACTTTATCTGTAACCCAAAGGTCTGTTGTAATGCGTTGCCTGACATCCTGCCATTTGTATCCTTACCAATATTGCCGTGTAAAAATTCTGTATCAGAATAAGGACAGTATTGTATATCATTTGATTTATTTTTAATATTATATCCTTATTTTTGTCACAGTTGTCAGTTTTTATTACGAGCGGATTTCTGTCTAGCCCACGTTCAAAAATGGGTCGAGACTCCAAAATGGGTAACCCAGCACGAACGGTGTGTCCGTTTTCATTTTACACACAGGAAAGTTGTGTTTGCATGAATTTTAAGGTAGTACGATAAATAACGTGTCAATCGGTGGGGTTTTGGAGCATGAAGGGAGATGATGACATACAAAACTGACTGTCATCGGGAGTGGACTCGTGGGGTTTCACTGTGCTGATTGAGCAGATAGGAGGGGGCTGCTGATGGCGGGCGGGTAGGCAGGGTGCTAGGGGCCGGCCCCGCGGCGATGCTGATGGAGCCCGGCCTGGAGAAACCCGCCAAGTATTGTAAATGGATTCATCATTGCAAATAAACAACTTCTGAAATTGTTCAACTGCGTAACAGTGGCCTTGCCGACCGTTGCAGAAACATCTGTCCACTTTGTAGCCATTTACCCAGCCAGGGCTTACAGCTGTACATTCCGTGTGATTTCCCCCTCGGGTAACGTGTCCCAGGGATGTAGGTAGGGGGTTTTGCGGAACTAAGTATCATACTTGGTCATAGAAGGCTAATTTTTGCTTCTGTTTAGTTTGCTGTTAAACATTCCTCAGTGAGTTTGCTGAAAACAAAAACAGAGCTCAAGTGAAATTACAAGGACAGTAACACGCACATCAGTTTTGCTCAGTGTTGTTTTCACATCATGTTCAACACATCCTTTTTCATAAATGGTGAAAACTTGATTGGGTCAACCATCCACTTTTCCCCAGGTTAAAAGACAAATAACCAACTTTTATAAAATTTTGCTTTTATGTATAGCACTACCTAAAAACATAGACGACTTGTACACAGCCAAAAGAACCACCGTGGAGTCTGCATAGAAAACTTAGAATTGTACCTACCAACCCACTACCATTCAAAGAAAAACAGAACTTTGCCATTTGCTACATCTCCCCTTGGTTCTTATTTTCACTGAGGAGTTCACAGTTCTCTTTGGTTGTTATTTTTTAACTCATTAGCAAAGTTGGCACCTTTCCAAATAAGTGTTTCGAAAAAACTTGTAATCATGCTTCATGGAGAGTCGTTAAATAATTCTATGCAAAGCACAGAAAGTCTTGCCCTGTCGGGATGGTGGTGCTGTTTCTTCTAGTCCCCAGGATGGTCTCTCACTGAAGTTGGGGTTTCATAGGCCAGAATTTCTAAAAGTAAGGCAAAGTGAGAATTTACACAAGAAATACGAAGTCAGCAGTCTAGTTTGATGTAAATAATGTGAATGGATTACATCCTTTCTAAGGCAGAATTAGATCTTATGCCAGAAGCTATGGACCAAACTCAAATGGACCTTTTTTTTTTTTTAAATTGAAGTTTAGTTGATTTGCAATGTTGGGTTAATTTCTGGTGTACAGCATAGTGATTCAGTTATACATGGATGTATTCTTTTTCATTATAGGTTATTAAAAGATATTGAATGTAGTTCCCTGTGCTATATGTTAGGACCTTGTTGTTTATCTGTTTTATATATAGTAGTTTGTATCTGTTAATCCCAAACTCCTAATTTATCCCCTTCCCCCTTCCCCTTTGGTAACAGTAAGTTTGTTTTCTATGTCTGTGACTCTCTTTCTGTTTTGTAAATAAGTGCATTTGTATCATATTTTTAAGATTCCACATATAAGTGATATCATATGGTATTTGTCTTTCTCTGTCTGACTTACTTCACTTAGTATGATAATCTCTAGATCCATCCATGTTGTTATGAATGGCATTACTTCGTTCTTTTTTTTGTATAGCTGAATAGTGTGTGTGTGTGTGTGTGTGTATCACAACTTCTTTCTCCAGTCATCTGTTGATGGACATTAAGTTGTTTCCATGCCTTGACTGTTGTAAATAGTGCTGCTGTGAACATTGGGGTGTGTGTGTCTTTTCGAATTAGAGGTTTCTCTTGATACACGCTCAGGAGTGGGATTTCTGGATCATATGGTAACTCTCTTTTTAGTCTTTTGAGGTATCTCCATACTGTTTTCCATATTGACTGCAGCAAATTACATTCCCACCAACAATGTAGGAGGGTTCCTTTTTCTCTACACCCTCTCGAGCATTTATCATTCATGGACTTCTTAATGATGGCTCTGACTGGTATGAGGTGATATCTCACTGTAGTTTTGATTTGCATTTCTCTAACAATTAGTGATGTTGAGCATCTTTTCATGTGCTTGTTGGCCATTTGTATGTTGTCTTTGGAGAGATGTCTATTTAGGTCTTCTGCCCATTTCTTAATTGGGTTGCCTTTTTTTTTTTTAACTAAGGTGTATGAGCTGTTTGTATATTTTGAAAATTAATCCCTTGCCAGTCGCATCATTTGCACCTTGGGATATATTTTTGAAATCCCAAGTTGGAGTTTGAAGTGGAGGAGCAGGATTTTTCAGGCGCAGGATGTGCACATAGGAATCAATATTTACTCATATAAAATTTTAAAAGAAAATATTTGCTGCTTAAAGTAAGAGGCTTACAGAAAATTATTGCTAGCTATGGGATTGAGTTCTGGGGAGTTAAATGTTGTCTGCAATCATTAGTCCTTTGGACAGCTCATGTTAATGTTCTCTGTTAATTTTCCTGGATTTGTTGAGGAAGAAGAAAATCCCTGAATGGAAGGCATGATTGGTAGCCTCCAGTTGTCTTCCACAATTCATTCATTCATTCTCACATTCTCTCTCTTTTTCCTCCCTCCTCCATCCTCTCTCCTCTCTCTGCTCCTTCTCTCTCTCTCCCTGCCCCTCCCTCAGGAGGTTTTCACTGGGCACATGACCATACATCCAGACGTCTAGAGACTGCATTCACCAGCAGCCCTTAGCCAGATGTGACATCTGACTTAGTTCTTAGCAACGGAATGTGGGCAGAAGTGATCTGCCTCCCTTGCTTAAAAAAGTAAGTTGCACTCCCCTTCCTCTCCAATAGTGGGCAGCAGTGAACCCGGCTACTTTGGATCCAGAGAGAAGGCACTTGGGAAAGGTAGTAGAGTGGACCCACCAGCTGGGTCACACTGAATGACCTCCTGAAGCCGCCACCCAAAAGCCCAGAGAAACAGCCACTCTGATTCCAGGGCTCTGTTAAAACATTTCCACTTGTACCCTACTCAGTACAAATAGAATCATTCTTTTCAAACGTGCATCATTTTGTTACACTTAATACTTCATTCTGTGATCTTAAAAACTTTATTTTTGTGTTCCAGTTTACTGGTTGCCTCGCAGAAGGTGGTGGGGTCAACTCCCCCCTTCCAGAATTGGTTTGGATGTTGGGACTAATGATGCCACACACACAGGGAGGATGTGACAAGAGTCAGGACTCACGCCATGGGATTGTCTAGTGAGACTATGGCAGGCGCAAGTCAGGCCAAAGTGGCAGCAGCGAGCCAGTTTGGTTGGTTTTAGTCTTTGCTGTAGCCGGGAGGCAGGGCCCGGGTGAGAGTTCCTCCCTGCTGGGGCTGGCTCACCCGGGCTTGGGTTCAAAAGGAAAGAAGAATGTGCGGCTGGAGAGCGGTCAGTGTTAAAACATCCAAAGTGGAGTTTTCATCTTTATCACTGTCTTGGAAGAATATCTTAATGAGAAATTGGTAGCCAAATGGAAGAAGAGTCTTCAAACCGGAAATGGTTAGACTCACTTACATACTTTGGTCACCAGAACGATAATAATCCAGAGGCTAAGAAAATGTGTACATTTCTTGCTGCCACTATTCCAAACTCAAACCCACGAATTAAGAAATTCTGGAGACGGGAAGTCACTAAGGCTCATAACCACCATACGTTTTCTTATGATGTTTAAGTGAATTTTAATTGCACCACACGGTGCTAGAAAAACAAAAGAAAAAACTTTGAATGACAAACTTTCAGTGAACAAAGCTGTTTTTCCTACTAGCAAAAAGAAAAGTAACATGCCATTAGCAGAAAGCTAATCATGCTATTGTATAATTGTGTTCCTTTCAATAGAGGCAGGAATTAAATATATATCTAAAGGTGTTTAATTCTAATATCTTTAGAAAACTTACAAAGTAACTTACCAATTAAAATAAAATCTTTTGTCAGACCACATGTCACCCTACTCATAAAAGATTAGAACAGTTATGCAAATGAAATCCTAGAAATAGCTCTGGGTCTCCCATAATTCCTCAAGATGGATATGCAAATTAAACTGATCGTGACTGTGGGTTAAAAGAATGACACACTGTACATTTATACTCTTTAGTATATCACTCTCCCAGATGAATACCTGTGACAGGGTTTCTTTCCTATTCCCCACTTTTTTCTCTTCTAAATATATTGCGATGCAAATTGGTCAGTACTAGGAACTATGTGAGGAAAAGATATGGGGGAATAAAAGGAAAAAATATGTTAAAAAAAGACAAGGAAAAATTTCATCTCATGCATTTTAAATTTCACGATCTCTGGAGAATATTTTAATAAAGCATGTATTAAGTCGGCATTGAAACTTTAATAATTTTTCAAAGCCTTTCAAAATTACAGCCCATCTGTGTATCTTCAAGAAAATGAAACCATTTATTGCACCTTCCAAGTTCCATCACAGGTTCTAACCAAAAAACCGTGTGTACTTCTTAAATATTCCATCCTGGCAGAAA